ATGCGTTACGTTACTTTTGCGTTACTATTTTCCCCCCTGGGCAGGGCTTGTTTTTTTTTTTTTTTTACAACAAAAAAGTCCCATTCTGGATAACGTAAGAATAGGATGCAGGAAAAAAAGTTTTACATTTTTAACACTTAAAAATGTGCTTAAAATAAAAAGTCATTTTTGCTTATGCATGTTTAATTGAATCATCAAAGGTCAGCAGCAAGTACATTGGTCAATAAAGTGATATTAAATGCATAAAATATTTGTTTTATTTAAAATTTAATTATTGGAGGTTGGCATAGTATTCTGATTTTGCATTTTACTGATTTTATTCATTTAGAAGAATCCTGAATCTGTTTGTGTAAGTAGTATTGTAAATGCACGCTCACATTTAGTCTAGCTAACCATCATGTTCACACACAACGCTTCTGCTCTTATGATTTGTAATAAAAGAAAAAAACCTTGAAAAGGTGGCGAAATCACGCAGGCTGTAACAGACAGATCGTTAACTGTTAACCTTGACAAATATGCGCTATTATTACGTGCATATCCAAGTGTTTGTGTGGAGAGAGCGCTTATACTGTATTCATGACATACAGACTTACAAAACTCAGTCATTTTTGGTCATACAGATAAGAGGAATGCAAACTGTGAAGGGTCTACTTTTATTTTTTAACAAAAGCAAACGTTGTGCTTTTGTAAAATAAAGGCGCTTTCTGTCAATTCGGTCTTGAACTTGAGCGCATCACATAAATGAACATGAACGATAATGAGTGTGTAAACGTGATTGAAAATTTTTATATCGTGCGAAAATTTCGGACATGAATTGCAGACTCGGTTATCGGACGCCCATTTTCCATAAGTTGGTGTGATTCTTTAGGGTCTTTGTGTAAAGTTTGTAACATACTTTGGTTAAAATTCCTCAATGGTTGTGTAAAACAACACACTCTTTACCTCTTAAAAACAGCTCTGTTCACAGCGACCTGTTCCGGTGCATGTCTCTTTAAATGATAATGAGCTGCATGTCTCTTTAAATGATAATGAGCTGCATGTCTCTGTAAATGATAATGAGGTGCATGTCTCTTTAAATGATAATGAGGTGCATGTCTCTTTAAATGATAATGAGCTGCATGTCTCTGTAAATGATAATGAGGTGCATGTCTCTTTAAATGATAATGAGGTGCATGTCTCTTTAAATGATAATGAGCTGCATGTCTTTTTAAATGATAATGAGCTGCATGTCTCTTTAAATGATAATGAGGTGCATGTCTCTGTAAATGATAATGAGGTGCATGTCTCTTTAAATGATAATGAGCTGCATGTCTCTGTAAATGATAATGAGGTGCATGTCTCTTTAAATGATAATGAGCTGCATGTCTCTGTAAATGATAATGAGCTGCATGTCTTTTTAAATGATAATGAGGTGCATGTCTGTTTAAATGATAATGAGGTGCATGTCTCTTTAAATGATAATGAGGTGCATGTCTCTTTTAATGATAATGAGGTTCATGTCTCTTTATATGATAATAAGCTGCATATCTCTTTAAATGATAATGAGGTGCATGTCTCTTTAAATGATAATGAGCTGCATGTCTCTTTAAATAATAATGAGGTGCATGTCTCTTTAAATGGTAATGAGGTGCATGTCTCTTTAAATGATAATGAGGTGCATGTCTCTTTAAATGATAATGAGGTGCATGTCTCTTTAAATGATAATGAGGTGCATGTCTCTTTAAATAATAATGAGGTGCATGTCTCTTTAAATGGTAATGAGGTGCATGTCTCTTTAAATGATAATGAGGTGCATGTCTCTTTAAATGATAATGAGGTGCATGTCTTTTTAAATGATAATGAGGTGCATGTCTCTTTAAATGATAATGAGGTGCATGTCTCTTTAAATGATAATGAGGTGCATGTCTCTTTAAATGATAATGAGGTGCATGTCTTTTTAAATGATAATGAGGTGCATGTCTCTTTAAATGATAATAAGTAACTGCTCACCCCCGTGGGGGGTGTCGACAAAAGACATAAAGTGATGCCTTGGTGGACAGTATACAAATGGAAAATATGCTAATATGGGAAATACGGGAAACACTGCACACACACATCTATACACACACACACACCATATAAAAGTGAGTTTTGCACCCGATGACCTTCACTCGCCTCTGGTTATTCTGAGACTTGCGATGAGTGGGATTGGCCTGTTGTTGCCAGTGTGAAGGCTCTGAACGGGGGCGGAGCTAAAGCTCATTTGCATTTCACACACACACAAACAGAGTGTTTTTGCTTACACCCAAAAAGTGTCGATTTTAACATGCTATAGTTAATGATCTGGAGGATTTGAGCTGAACTTTCACACACACACTCTGGGAACGCTATAGATTTATATTACATCTGGTGAAAAGGGGAGTAATGTCGCTTTATATATTGCTGCAGAATCGTGTTCCTCGCTGTCTCTCACTGACCTTTCATGCAGAGTCCCCTCGCCCACACACACACACACACACAC